GCCCCCCAGACCCTGACCGCTGTGAGGGCCTGAGCTCATCTTCTTTGGTACATCTGTTCCTGGCACACTTTACCAGGCAGCTAGAAAGTGCTCAAATGTTTGAGGAGTGGATGAGTGGTAACACCAAAAGGAAGGAGAGCAGGGAGTGTAGCCGAGACTGCCATTGCCACCTAAATATTCCTTCTCCTCTCCTCCCGACTATTAGAACCCTGACTTTTAGCTGGGGTCACACTGCCACCCAAAATAAAAGACTATATTTCCCAGCTTCCCTTGCAACAAAGTCTGGCCAATGAAATTTAAGTGGAAGTGTTGTGTGGAACTTCCTGGAAGTTCCCTTAAAAGGAAAGGAATGAGCCCCTCTTCTTCCCTTTCTCCCTCTCTACTGCCTGGAATGCTAATGCAATGGCTTGTTCAGCAGCCATTTTGGACTATTGAGTGGCTTTGAGGATAGAACCAATTCTAGGACAGTGGAGTAAAAGATAGGACCCTGGGTTCTTGATGAACCTGGATCCATCTCATTAACAGTGAACTGCCACTTTAACACTTCTTGTTTTGGGTCTATTTTGCTTAAATCTCTGTAGTTACATCTCCAGTACTCATAGCCCAACCCAATCCTAACTGCCCATGGAGCCAGCTGGAGAGGGGTGCGAGGGCTTCCCAATAGGAAGTCGTGGATTCTAGCCCTGAGCCACCTGTCAGTACGGGTATGCGTGCCCCAGGTGAATCAGTTGTGCCTGGCCTTGTCTTCATCTGTAAAACGAGCTTAAAGGTCACTGCCCTGCCCATGTACAGAGTGGTCGTCTGAACCTAATGAGATCAAGTATGTAACAATGATTTGTATAGCGCTGGCCTGGTGGCATAGTGGTTGAGTTCGTACACCCAGGGTTCGCTGGTTCAGATCCTGGCCGCAGACCTACACACTGCTCATCAAGCCACGCTGTTGCAGGATCCCACATAGAAGAACTAGAAGGACATACAACAAGGATATACAACTATGTACTGGGGCTTTGGGGAGAAAAAAGAAAAGAGGAAGATTGGCAACAGATATTAGCTCAGGGCCAATCTTCCTCACCAAAACAAAAGCATACCTTGAAAAAAAATGATTTGTATACATAAAACCTTCACAAATAGAAGGAGTGTGAACTGCCTGGATGGGCAGCTCCACCCCCTGCTGGGCCAGACGCGGCTCCATCAACCCCGCTGAGCTTGGACCTTCCTTGGATGGACAAGGCCAGAGCCAGGGGTATCTGGCTTCACTTGACACCTTTGGGCTCTTTCCAGGGCTGCGCCATTTTCCAACTCACCACCGACTTCTCAGGAGTCACCCTGGCCCACGGGAAGAGAGTGGGATGTGGTTGTTGGTGATGGTGAGGGCCAGAGAGGGTGGGAGTTCCGTCAGCCAACGTCTCGGGGGAATAGCGCCGCCGACATCGTAAAGTCTCTCCCAGAGGACGTGTCCAGACATGCGGGGTTGCTGGGCACTGTCACCCACTTTTTATTTCATGCGAACGCCACACATGGCTGCTCCCCAAGAGATTCTGGGCTGCACGCACCATCCTCCCTGTCCACTCCACAGGAAGAAACCTCTTATTGTCATTGACTTCCTAACCCATCACAGATGATCTCAGAAGAAATGCCAGAGAATGGAGTTTCCTTTGATCACAGTATCTTAAGATGTGTCTGCTCTTATTATGCCCTGATGATAAAAAGAAGCAAGAATTTTCCTCAAGAAGAGAAAAGGAAATGAGGTCAGCGACATCAGGTATAATTGTAGCCATACTTGCTGGAACCTGGAGCTGGACAGTAAGAACAGGAGCTTCAGGCTCTTGGGCCCTCGGGAGGCGCCAGACACGATGAGGTGGGTTGGCGTGTGCTAAGAATTTTAAAGGCCTCAAGACTAGTTTACCAGTGAGTTAACTGAGCCTCCGGGAAGGAAGGTAACTTGTCCAAAGTCTCAAAGTTAACGAGCTGGAAACTTGAGATTCCAACTAGGTCCACTCCCCCCCCCCCCCCCCCAAAGCCCAGCGCCCTCTCCGTTACTTTCTGCTGGAAGTTTCCATGCTTAGTATAAAGCAGCGTCTCTTAGTTGTGAAGACAATCCAAATTGCACATTAAACATGGTCCTTTTGGTCTCTCTGGTTGTATGGACCTTCTCTCCCCCTACTTGCCTGCCTGACAGTTAAACAAGGCCTCAGAGGGTTGGAACCCTAAATTCGTCTCACTAGATTGTTTCGGTTTTCAAACAACAATAGCTCCAGTTGGTTTATCTTGTTCATCTGAGAACCTAAAGACGTTCCATTGTTTCCTCACCACCAAGTAACGTGTCTTCAAGAGGTATTCCGCCTCTGGCTCAGTGTCCTGCTAGAATACGTTTCTGTTGTGGTGTCCAGTTGGAGATGGCTGCTTTGCCAGGAGGTCTGGTCTGATGTCAGAGGCGGCCCTTCCGCCGTGTGAACTGTAGGAGTGAGAAGGGAAAAGCTGGCCTTCGATAACTAAGCCAGGCTCGGTGGTTAGGCTCCTGGGCTCTGGAATCTGACTGGCCAAATGAGCTCCTGATGTCTCAGTTTCCTCTTGTGTAAAATGGGAAGATGGTAGAACATACCTGATGGGGTTGCAATCAGGATTAAATGAACCACTTGTTAGTAGAGAGGCAGTGTGAATAATGGCTCTACGCATGAACTCTGGCCTTGAACCACAGCTCCTCTGCACAGGAGCAAGTTACATAACTCTGTGCCTCAGTTTACCCCATCTGAAAATGGAGATAACAGTAATTCCTACATCACAGACTATTGCAAAGATTAAATGATTCAGCAAGTGTAGCTGTGAGTGCTTTACTCTGGGTAGGTGTGTGATAAATGTGATGCTGGGGCAAAATGCACTCATGTCCCCAAACCCGGGCCACCCACACTTGGGCCTGCACAGTGCCAGTGCAGTGAAGTCAGCAGGGAGGGTTGAGACCTCCTACTTGCTCTCAGGGAACTTGAATTCTAAAACATACGTGACACAGGTGGTGAAAAAGCCCACACAAGTGTCCCACGCGGTGAGGGTTATTTCACCCGGTTAACTGCTGATGGGGAATGTGGTAGTTCAGTTGGGGGAAGAAGACTTTCTTTACCTGTGGTCAGCTGAGAAATGGTCCCCAAAGGTACCCAAGTCCTCATCCCTGGGCCCTGTGAATGTGACCTTATGTGGAAAAATCCTCCCCATCTCAAAATCCTCAACTCAATCCCATCTGCAGAGAAGATTCTGGATTATCCAGGTGGGCCCTAAAATGCAATCACGAGTGTCTTCATAAGAGGGAGGTTTGACACAGAAGAGGAGAAAGTAACATGGCCAGGGAAGCAGAGGTCGGAGTGATGTAGCCACAAGCCAAGGAATGCCGGCAGTCACCAGAAACCAGAAGAGGCAAGGAATGGCTTCTCCCTTGGGGCCTCTGGAGGGAGCGTGGCCCTGCCCACATCTTGGTTTTGGCTCAGTTGAACTGATTGTAGATTTCAGGCCTCCTGAACTGGGAGAGAATAAGTTTTGGTTTTTTCGAGCCACCAAGTTTGTGGTAGTTTCTTACAGCAGCCACGGGAAACAAATACAACACCATGGGCTGTAAAGTGGGCTGTGCAACAACTGACATGGCCTGGTTCCATGTGGTCGGCTGTTGTAGGCACAGTTCATCCCCAGATAAAACACATAAGGACAAGATGCTACGGAAGTCCACCACTTGGTGGCCGAAAAGCATTGAACATCTATTTTCATTGGACAAAGTGTTTCTGAATAATGTGGGGAGGTGCAGAAAGGAAGCAGGGCAGGAAGACAAGCAAGGAATCTGATGCTTTCAGCACTGGGCCAGCAGGAGCCCCGCTCATAATCCTGTAAATGGGCAAGTCTGTTAGGAGTTGGGTAGAAATGCTCAGAAGTTATTTTTATTTTTTTAGAGCCTCCCCTTAGATCGTTTATCAACTAGTCACCCTCTAGAAGAGATCTTTAGTTGTTTTTTTTTAAAGGTATGCTTTTTCTGTTGCTGAGGAAGATTGGCCCTGACCTAATACCTGTTGCCAATCTTCCTCTTTTTTTTTTCTCCCCAAAGCCCTAGTATAGTTGTACATCCTAGCTGTAAGTCCTTCTAGTTCTTCTATGTGGGACACCACCACAGCTTGGCCTGACAAACGGTGCTAAGTCCACACCCAGGATCTGAACCAGCAAACCCTGGGGAGCCTCAGCGGAGCGCACGAACTTAACCACTATGCCACCAGGCCAACCCCAGAAGTTACTGGGGAATAATTACACCCCAGAATAATTACTTCCATTGTAAACTTACTATCTGAACAGATATAAACAAGAGTGAACTTCATGATGTGTTTAATAGGAGGCAGGCCTTTTTCTATAAAAGTGAAAAATATCACCATAAATCCTTACAATCTACATCAGCAGCAGCCCCAAACTGGAACAGGGTGCTGCTGCACCAACTGCACGTGGCTTAGCTCTCAGGGCGCTGAGATGCGACTCCATGACAAAGTTTTATGACCTCCTGTTGGGATTCTTGGGTTGGGATGGGAGATGAATTGGGTAAGGGGGTTCCACAGACCCCGTTCCCTCCACCTGTTCACCCATCAAGTCCCCCTTGAACCAATCACTGTGATAGCTTTCCAGGTTCTTATTGGGACCACCAAATTGCCTTGGAGCATCTGGATGGGATTTCACCTCCATGGATGCTTCTTGCCTTGCTTTCACGCAATGGGAAGGAGAGAGCCTGTCTGGACCACATCTCCAGCTGCTGGCAAGCTGGCTTCCTGTGGATTACGTTGGTGGGCTGAAACTGGTTGGCACACTACTTAATTTCAACTTTTTTGTGATTACGCACTTGGTTCTATTTGTTTCTCAGACCAAAATTTTGAACACACAACCTTTAGCTCTGCTCACTGCCAAGCTGGTTTAGGCTGGATTGCCTCTAATCCTCCCTGTGACATAGCCCTCAGAGAGGCCTTAACGGGATGGAAGTCGAGATCCCTAATTTACCAATGACCTTTAATGAAACCTCCAGTGAACCTAAAGTACTTTGCCAATGCCTTTAGGAGCCTCAGTCCTCACAGCATCCCTGCGAGGTCACTGTTGGAGTGTCTTTGGCTGCAGTGGTCCAGAATCGAGCCCAATGGAGTTGGTAAAGACCATGCCTGTAGCATAGTCCCACCACTTGTTGGAGGAATCACCCTCAAGAAAATTTACCAAGATAGTAGTTTTCCCATCTCCGCACTTTGTTAGTTAGTGTTTTCCATTTGCTTGGGTTTATCCTGTCAATCCCTTTGCTAATTAAATCACTTAAAAGTATATACTGGTAAGAATAGACACTGTCAATGGACTGCAAACAAAACTCCTTTCTGTTATTGATGATAAACCATTTCAGAAAAGACCAGGCTGTGTCTAAAGGGTTCAGGTAATTGTAAGGGGAAGGCAGAGAGAGCAGTTCATGGCCACAGGACTTGGCCACCTCAGGGCAACACATGATGCTCGTTAAGTTAATGACTGACTCTTTATCTTCCTTTGGCCCCATCTCATCCTGCAGCCTTCTCTCTTTGACCACAATGGCGCACCTCCCATAGGCCTTCTTTGCTGCATCACAGAACTCGAAGAAGAGGTTGTCTTCTTGTTTGACGCATAACTCATCTCTTAGGAACATCCGATATTTCCAGGGCACCCATCCTTGACTACCACCGGCATGCACAATACACCAAGTTGGAGTCTGAATGTAATATCCGTCATTAAAATCTTCCCCAGTGACAAGGCTTTCAGGGATTTCAGCTTCCCCCAAATATATGGTCTTAAATCCATCGTATTGCAGCGTTCTCAGGGTTTTCAAATACTGCAGGCATTGCTTCCTCTTGGCGGTATCAAATAGATTTCTGCTAATGATGTTTCTCAAAAGAAGGTTTGTGAAGTGAGGCATGATGGCTCCTCAAGGGTCTTTAAAAGCTGGCATGTCTCCCTCCGTGGAGATCTAGCCAGAGTGGAATGATGACCTCACAAAGGGCACTCTTACACTGGGCCAGTCCCATAGATACACTTTGGATTTCCAAGCATCATGGAACACATACTCGGAACTATTCTCTCATGGCTTATGCCGTATGGGAATGGAAATGCTATCCACATAAAATGTTTCTTTGACATCACTTCTGCAGTAAGTCTGGGACGGAGATTGGCGATTGTATTAGTTTGCTAGAGTTGCCATAACAAAATACCATGGGGTGGGTGACTTGAACAACAGAAATTTATTGTCTCATGGTTCTGGAAGCTGGAAGTCCAAGATGAAGGTGTCAGCAGGTGTGGTTTCTTCTGAGGCCTCTCTCCTTGGCTTGTAGACGGCTGTCTTCCCTCTGTGTCCTCACGTGGCCTTTCCTCTGTGTCCATGTATGACTCAGCCCTAATCTCCCCTTCTAACAAGGTCACCAGGCCTGTTGGATTAGGGCCAACCCATACGACGTCATTTTAGCATCATCACCTCTTTAAAGCCTCTCTCCAAATACAGTCACATTCCGAGGTACTGGGGGTGGTGGTTAGGGCTTCAGCATATGATTTTCGGGGGACACAATCCAGCCCATAACAACAATCTTTTCAGAGTGATGAGCCAAGTTTCTGACTCCTCTCCATGTGGTTCATGAGGATGGAGAGGAATATTTGCATCCATCCATCCAAAATATATTTACTGAGCACTTACTAAGCGCCAGGCATTGTGCCAGGCACCAGAGGTACAGCCATGACATGTCCAATGAGGCCTGAACATGTGTGTGGCATATGTCTGTATGCATGGAGTTCACACCAGCTGTCTGCCCACTCTGACAAGCAAGATAATTTTTCCAGGTGGCAGAAGAAAGTACAGCAAATAGCAAAAGAAAATCAGCCTGCGTACCTACTTTCACTGGGGCTGCGAATTCTTGAGCTAATTCAATACCCCATCTGGAAAGCAGGTTTAATTTCACGTACTCAAGGCCAAATGTCAGTTTGCTTGAAATGCTAGCAGTCTCCTCAATTTCCTTTGTTTGTATTTTCCTGCCCCCTTACGCAAAGTTAGTGATGTTTCATAAATGTGCATAATGGATTCCCTCAACTGAAGATGTGGACAAAATGATTGATCAGGTCCTTTGCCCAACTGTTGAATGGATGAGAACTTTTCCTCCCACAAGGGCTTTCTTGGGATTAAGGTTTAGGCAACCCCAGACAGTAGGACTTCTCCAGCACAGCAAAGTTAACACGAGGCCTGTGCTCTCCGAACAGCCTCTCTCAGAGGCCAGGATCAGTGGTTTGGGTTGACAATTGGCTTGTGGCCATTTTCTCTTGGGATTTTTCTTTTGGTAGCGGGAATTCTTTTTCAGACCAAATGAGACATGGACGCCAAATATGTAGAACAGAAGTGGCTGCTTCTGTGGCTGCTCTGGCTGGAGTGGTAATGGTGGTCCCAGAGGCCCCCTGTTCAGTCACCCCCTCCTCCCTCTTGCCCCAAGGGACCCTGTGGCCTGGAATGGCAGTGTGAAAACACCATACAATACAACGAAGTCAATTTTTTTGCATGTGTGTGTGTGTGTGTGTGTGTGAGAAAGATTGTCCCTGAGCTAACATCTGTGCCAGTCTTCCTCTATTTTATATGTGGGCTGCTGCCACAGCATGGGTTTGATGAGCAGTGTGTAGGTCCATGCCCAGGATCTGAACCCGTGAACCCCAGGCTACTGAAGCAGAGCACATGAACCCAACCACCACACCACCAGGCTGGCCCCAAAGTCAATTTTAAGACAACGGTTTTTTGCTTCTCTCATCCAATTTTTAGTTATGTATGGATATGAGAAACATGTTCAGAAGTATAGAAGGGAATGTATAATATGTTATCCTTTGTGTAAATATATATCTGTATGTAAACAAAATATACATATGAAAATTTGCTATATTTTCAAATATAAACAACGGAAGAATAAACCACACATTACTTAAAAATGCTTACCTATAAGAAGAGGGCTAGAACAGGAGAAATGAAAAAAGCAAGAAATCTAGACTTTTCTTTGTTTTTTTTTTTTCAGGAAGATTAGCCCTGAGCTAACATCCACCACCAATCCTACTCTTTTTGCTGAGGAAAACTGGCCCTGAGCTAATGTCTGTGCCCATCTTCCTCTACTTTATATGTAGGATGCCTGCCACAGCAAGGCTTGACAAGCAGTGCATAGGTCTGAGCCCAGGATCCGAACTGCGAATCCTGGGCCACGAAAGTGGACTTCACTGCTGCACCACTGGGCTGGCCTCTCGGCTTTTCTGAATGTATCTTCTTTTACAGTTTTGACCAGAAAATGTAAGAATTTTACATTTTTTTTTTAAAAAAGCAAAACAAGAAAATGATCTCTAAGATACACAAATAAAACTCAAACTAATGAGCCTAACTGCTTATTGGGTCAGTAACAACAACAACAACAAAAAACCCTCAATCCAGTAGCAATGTACACTCCTACCCGCTAGGTTATGGTCTCTAAATATTGTTTCCTACTATAGGAATCAGAGATCCTTTCATTCTAGGCCTAGGGTAGGAAATGTACAAGATGAGGTTGGGACATCAAAGACTACCAGGTCTGTTGAAAGGAACTAAGAGTCAATTAAAGAAGGCTCCCATGGCCAAAGATGGAAGAATTTGAGCATCAATCAATCAATCAACCAATCAATAAACAATGTGATAAATTGAAGCAGAATGTATGTATAAAAATCTTTGCATTCACAATGGTACTCAAACAAACGAATACTCAAAAAACTCAGTGACTGCCTTTGGAGGTGACTATGAAGAGCACCATTGCATTATTTTGCCAATTAATAAGTAAAAGAATCAAATGCTTGTCCGGCCTTTCCTTGTGTGGATTCCATTTCAGAGTGGGTATCAATGACCTGGAAGAGTGTCCATGACTTATCGTTAGGTTTACAAAAGCAAGTAGACGCAGAGTATGATTCATTTTTAAAAAATCAAACATCTATTTAAGGATCTGTATCTACCTTTGCGGATCCAGATAGACAAGCGTCTGGATGACACAACAACTCTAACAGTGTTTCCTCTGGTAAGTGGAACAGAGGTGTGGATGGAGGAAGAGCCAGTAGCTGGAAATTATTCACAACACACAAGCGTTGTGTTTATACCTTAAAAGGTAACGAGAAAGTTTTTTTTAATTTAAATTCTGACAGGTTAAGAGATCCTCTGTTTCCCACTGCCCGCCCCTTCCCAGCCCTGGAATAGGAGGAAGTACTCTGACCACCCAGGTGCGTGTAGAGGTTTAATTAACAGACCACTTAGCAAACAGGAAGTGTGCAGACAGCATATAAACAGTGTCCCCGTGACCCCACTCTCAATGCCGTTCTCCCACGCAGTCATCGGTTCCTCCTCCTTCTCCTGCTTTGCATTCACGTCTTTGTGTCTCTGTTCAGCCCATCCATCCCCCTCAAGAGAGAAACTTTCGGATTTGCCAGGTGCAGTTCTTCTGGAACCGCTGGGAAAGGCCCTGGCCCCTTTGCATGAAGCATCTTAGTTAATCCTCGCTGGGACCCGTGGGGTTGGAAGGATTGTCGCCCCATTTGCAGGACGAGTTGCTTAGGGAGAGAGGGCAGAGGGGCCCCTTTTGTCTCCTTGCCAAGCAAGAGAAGAGTCCCCAGTCACCTCTTTCTCTGCAAAGGAGATTCTTTTAAAAAAAATCCTTCTAATGTGCTTTCTAGAGCCACGGAGAGTTGACCAGGACAAGGGGGCTTCTCACATTCCTTGACCCTCTCCAGAGCTTCTTTTCCTTGCGTGCAAGATGAGAGAATTGGACCAGGCAAGGGCTGAGGTTCATTCACCCTAAAATTGGATTTTTTTCTTTCTCGTGGAACAAAAAAGATATATATATATAAGTGTGGATGTAACTGTGTGTGTTTGTGTGTGCAGACTCATGAGAGTGTGTGTTTGTGTATACGTGTGTGGGATGTTGCATATGTGTGTGAGTTTGCATGTTTGTAAAGGGTGTGCAAATGCATGTGTAAATGTGTGTGTACATATGTGTCTGTATGTGAGTGCATGTGGCCTGTGTTGTGTGTGTGTGTGCGCACGTATGTGCATGTGTGACTTTTGAATACCTGGGACCTGTGGGAGGACATCCCTCTCCAGATGTGCTTCCTGTTTGCTCAGCAGCCGAGCTCCCAGAGAACGCCCTCCTCAGGCCTGGCCCGGAGTGACAGCACTTCCCACTGGGCCCGGAGCTGGAACCATTAGTCAGAGTAATTACCAAATTCTCTTCAGTCTCCTGCGGCTCACTTCTTGCCTTGTTTGGCTGAGCCAAGACTTCCATCTCTGGCTTCTCCTACGGCCCTCCCCTGGGAGGTAAAAATAACCCACAGAGCTCAAGGCTTCTTCCGAGCTCTGCCTGGGACAGTGGACCCCAGCCCAGGTGCATCCGGGAATTGCATGGGGAGCTTTACCCCATTGCTTGTGTCTGAGCTCCAAGCTCGGAGGTTCTGATTGAATTGGCCTAGGGTGAGGCCTGTGCATCATGGAGATTTTTACAAGCTTCTTCGTGACTCTGGGGTGAAGTCAAGGTGAGAACTGTTGTCTTCAAGTAGGTTCTAATCAGGGCCCGTGGGGACCTGTAGGTGCAGGATGTTAGAGCTGCTGGGACCTCAGAGTTAGTCTTAAAAGGAATAGAACACAGGGGCTGGCCCCGTGGCCAAGTGGTTAAGTTCGTGCGCTCCACTGCAGGCGGCCCAGTGTTTCGTTGGTTTGAATCCTGGGCTCGGACATGACACTGCTCATCAAGCCACGCTGAGGCAGCGTCCCACATGCCACAACTAGAAGGACCCACAACGAGGAATATACAACTATGTACTGGGGGGCTTTGGGGAGAAAAAGGAAAAAAATTAAAAAAAACAATCTTAAAAAAAAAAGGAATAGAACACATTCTTCGTGTAAACATATATAGACTTTTTAATATAGAAACATTTGAGTTTTATATAAATAAAGATAGAAGGTAGGGAATGGGGTTGGGCTTCTCCTTGCTCCCTGTGGTGGCCTGAGGAACCTTCATGGAACATGGCGTCTTAGTCCATTCCAGCTGCTGTAAGAAGTTTCCAGAGACTGGGGGAGCTTCAACAACAGACATTTATTTCTCACAGCTCTGGAGGCTGAGAAGTCCGACATCAAAATGCTGGTGGATATGGTATCTGGTGACAGCTGTCTCTCGAGTTTGCAG